TGTGTCCTGGGTGGGTAGTGGGTACAGCCTTGCAGTAGGGCTAGACTTTAACCATGAGGTTGCTGGATGGTGGGGAAGCCCAGGGGCTTCGCAGGATGGGGCTGAGGGGCGAGGTGGCAGGCTGGCAAGTGCCAAACCAGCATGGAACCCTTTCATTGTCACTAGGCTGGAGTGCAGTGGTGTGATCTCGGCTCGCTGCAACCTCTGCCTCCTCGACTCAGGTAATTCTCCCACCTCAGCCTCCTGAGTAGCTGGGATTACAGGCACGCACAACCACGCCCAGCTAATTTTTGTATTTTCAGTAGAGACAGAATTTTGCCACGTCGCCCAGGCTATTCTCAAGCTCCTGGGCTCAAGCAAACCGCCCACCTCAGCCTCCCAAAGTGCTGGGCTTACAGGCATGAGCCACAGTGTCCACCTCTCTCTCTCTCTGTATACATATTTTTTGAAATGAGGTTTCACTCTTGTCGCCCAGGCTGGAGTGCAATGATGCTATCTTGGCTCACTGCAACCTCTACCTCCTGGGTTCAGGTGATTCTCCTGCCTCTGCCTCCTAAGAAGCTGGAATTACAGGTACCCACTACCATGTCTGGCCAATTTTTGTATTTTTAGTAAAGGCGGGATTTCACCATGTTTGCCAGGTTGGTCTTGAACTCCTGACCCCAGGTGATCTGCCCACCTTGGCCTCCCAAAATGCTGGGATTATAGGCGTGAGCCTCTGCATCTGCCTCAATATTTTAATATGTGGTGTGACACCCTAGCTGACTCTCAGCCCTTGGCATCCCCATTTCCTAGTGAGAAAAAGCCATAGAGGGGAAATGCCACATGCCCGAGCCAAGACACCCCTCCCCGGCACGTGTCTCATCCTCTCTGGTCTCTCCCATCCCATCTAGGACCCCTTCGTTCATTCCACCCCTGATTATGATTACTCGACTCTGGATCCCGACATCCCGGTGGATAAGACATCGTACAAGCTGCAGGTTCCAGACATCCTGGCCTTGTGCGTCTACGCAGTCGTCTTCCCGGTGGGAGTGCTGGGGAATGCCCTCGTGGTCTGGGTGACAGCATCTGAGGTCAAGCGGACCATCAATGCCATCTGGTTCCTCAACCTGGCGGTGGCCGACTTACTTTCCTGCCTGGCGCTGCCCATCTTGTTCACGTCCATCGTGCAGGGGAACCACTGGCCCTTCGGAGAGACCACCTGCCGCATCCTGCCCTCCCTCATCCTGCTCAACATGTACGCCAGCATCCTGCTCCTCGCCACCATCAGCGCCGACCGCTTCCTGCTGGTGTTTAGCCCCATCTGGTGCCAGAAATTCCGAGGGGCCCACCTGGCCTGGGCGGCCTGCGCCGTGGCGTGGGGCTTAGCCCTGCTGCTGACCATCCCCTCCTTCCTCTACCGTGCGGTCCAGGAGGAGTACTTTCCACCGAAGATTGTGTGTGGCGTGGACTACGGCGAGGCCAGCAAACGGCGGGAGCGAGACGTGGCCATCGTCCGGCTGGTCCTGGGCTTCCTGTGGCCGCTGCTCACACTCACGGTCTGTTACACCTTCCTCCTGCTCCGGACGTGGAGCCGCAGGGCCACGCGGTCCACCAAGACGCTCAAGGTGGTGGTGGCGGTGGTGGTCAGTTTCTTTATCTTCTGGTTGCCCTACCAGGTGACGGGGATGATGATGTCTTTGGTGAAGCCGTATTCACCCACCTTCAAGCAGCTGAAGAAGCTGGACTCCCTGTGTATCTCCTTTGCCTACATCAACTGCTGCATCAACCCCGTCATCTACGTGCTGGCCGGCCAGGGCTTCCAGTCCCGGCTGCGGAAATCCCTCCCCAGCCTCCTCCGGAACGTGCTGACTGAAGAGTCCATGGTCAGGGAGAGCAAGTCATTCACGCGCTCCACAGCGAACACTACGGCCGAGAAGAGCCAGGCGGTGTAGGCGACAGCCCTATGGGCCGCTGTGGCTGGTGTCCCCTTCCTTCCTGGCCACTGTCCTTCCGCGTGTTTTCACTCCACTCTCTGTGGGATGGCGTTCTCTTAGCTCTCTAACTCTCCGCCACGTGTCCTGCCTTTTCCAGGCTTGTCCCTCCTCTTCCAGCCAAATTCTTCTCATCCTTCCTCACTTGCGAGGTGAACGCTTCCTTCTAGAAAGCACTCCCCTCCCCCGCCATCTTTCCATCCCAGGCTTTTGGAAAACAAACAGAAACCTGTGTATCTGGGGTACTTCCAAATGGCAATAGGTGTGAACAGGAAACTCAGAATACAGACAAATAGATTCTCACTTTAAAAAAATGTAATCATTGGCCGGGCGCAGTGGCTCAAGCCTGTAATCCCAGCACTTTGGGAGGCC